GTAAAAAACGGATGTACATGGATGAAAAACAGATGTAAACATAACTGAACAAACTGAGCTGAACGGACGACGAATGAGGAAACTGATTTAGTATTTATCAGTTTTTTTTAGTATCTGTTAATCTGACTTAACTAAACATGTTTGCGTGAATAAGCTCTTAAGTTTATACATTTGAGAATCTGCTTAGGTATTTAATCACCACTGGTGTTTATTTTTGGTCCTTTTTTCATTATATAATAAAAACCCCAGTGGTGATTAAAATACCACCGAAAGAAAGCACTATCTGTCCCGAAAAGATTGTATAAAATTAATTTCAGTACAGCGTTGCATGACGAAATAAATGTCAAAGTACTGCAACGATGAATACTGAAAAATGGCCTGGACAGGAAGGGGGTTTAACACCCTGGTCAGCAAGTGGTTAAGCTATTTCTAATGCTAATTAAATAACTCACAATGGATGGTTTTTGTTTCCCCTAGAATAAGCTAGTCCCCCGAGTATTGGCCCTGATATCCTGTTTTAGGGAGGCTCCTTTCCCATGCAGGGACCTACGGAGCCACCTCTCTGTATGCCAGCAAGTTATGTGCATCTCCACAAATACACAGGCAGAGCAGGGAGATCCACTCCCCTCCCTCTGCTCCCCTTTTTCTCCTCTTCTACCCTTTCCAAGCTACAGTAGTAGATGGATGACCGTTGGAGCCTGTACTTTCCCTTATGGTCTTGTACTGGACAGGAAGTTTAGGGAAGTGGAGCTGAGAGAGTTGCTGTTGGAAACATGATGACTATAAGGGTTATTTACTAAGCTGCCGAAGGCAGCCGAGTGAATAACCAAGCCAAAGTGAACTGAGCCAAATGGCGTTCGGGTATTCACTTCGGCTCTGCACAGCTGATTTCAGCCGTACATTGGCTGTCTTCAGTCAGTCGAACATGTTTGGCATGCTCGGCTGAGCCAAAGTGCAGAAGCCGTTCGAGCCAAAGTGCAGAAGCCGTTCGAGCCAAAGCTCCAGCAGTTCACTCGCAGTGAGTAAATAGCTAAATGCCGCTGAGCGGTATTCGGCTTGGCTTTTCTGCTCGCTACTTCGAATAAAAGAAAATGTAATTAGAGAAAAAAAGTGAAAATGTAAAAAAAAAAAAAAAAAAAGTTAAGAAAATAATAGGAATAAAATGTAAATTAAAAAGAGAAAAAAAACAGCGTAGCCCCCCCCCCCCTCAAACCATACCAGATCTTTAGGTCTGGAAGGAAAGTTAGGAGGGACTCCAAGTTAAAAACCAAAAAGAAAATAAAAACCTGCCGCCCGTTGACCCAACATGTGGCATGCATGCATGCAGCGAACCCCCGCCTCAGATTGCAAAATCTGAAAGATGCCAGCAAAAGAAGATCAAAAGAAGATCTGATTCTGCAGACCTTCATGCGCATCTTCACGTAAACACCCGTCAGGTGCGCCAACATACGAAAAGGATAATGGCGCTGCACATGTTAGGTATCGCCACGCACGACAGAGTGAGATAAATAATTCTGGGGGAAATATTTACAAGCATCTCTAAACCGATGACCTGTAGGGACTTTTAAAGTGTCGTCTATGGACTTTTTTGGGGTACTGAATTTTGTCGCCGTTTCACATACACACAGTTTTTAACCTGGGCATGTTGGGTATCTATTTACTCGTTGTAACCTCATCTTTCATATTCTATTTTTAAAATGTGCATTTTATAGTGTTTTGGGGCATTTAGGAGCGTTTTTCACAATATTTTGGGGTTTGATAATAAGTTGTGCTAATATCGTGCCACTACTGAGTATTGTGAGGAGGTGTTCAGTGTTTGATGGTCTCCAGATGAGGACTCAGCATCAGGATCACAAGGTCCCCACAAACAACTCATAGCCTATGCAACATCCCAGGGAAAACCCTACCATACAGTGCTGCAACTTGTATGCCTGGGGGAAAGGAGCCACAGTGAGGCATAGCTACCAGGATTTCTCCAGGCCCAGCCTGAGATGTAGCTTACCCCCACACTGGCAAGGTTATGTGTGAAAATGGCACAAACCTGCTGTCTGATCTTCTACTAGTGAACATCACACATGTTTCTTTACTGCAGCCTGATGAACCATGCACTAGAGGCACAGTGGCCAGAGAAAGAGGAGGACTTGATTCTATCCCAGGGCCAGCAGGGAACTCTGGCCACTGCTTCAATCGCTGGTATGCAGAGGCAGCAGAAGGCAGAAGAGGAGGAAGGTGGACAGCCGGAGGACAATATTATCAGTAACAATAAGGGAGAGAGAGGGAGAGAGAGAGAGGCTTTGACAGTGCCTCTTTGCAGCATTTCCCAGTAGAGTCAGTAATCACTCGGCTGTATGATCCCGTCAACAACCCCTCAAAGATTAGCAAGAGCAGCAGCCTCAGCATGGTTTTGCATAGATTTGTAAAGCAAGATCCAGCTACTGGCACCAATCATAGGCAAAATCTGAACCTTATGATTGCTGACTATATTGCTTTCAGTGCTGATACTGAAACACTAAAATATGAGAACAACCCCATGTAATACTGGGTGTCCAAGACAGACCACTGGGTGGAGCTAGTTTCAATATGCTAGAGGTACTGGCCTGGCCTGCTGCAAGTGTGACATCTGAGAGGGCCTTCAGAGAAGCGCATCCACCTGTTCTCCAAATGTGTACTGGCTGACTTTCATAAAAATAAGTCAGGCCCAAGGATGCCCACTTTCTCCCATCTTGTTCTTCTTAGCGAATGAACCCCTGGCCCACCTAATCAGGAGAAACTTAGACATTATAGGATGAGAAGTGGCAGGTTATCACCATTAATGTTATTTGCAGATGTCCTTCTGGTCCTTACTAGCAACGTTCTATATAGGTCAAATTCCCAAGAAGCCTTGAGCCATTATACCAAATATCACCACGCAGCCCAGGTGGCCCTTCCATTCTGTGTTGGATACATTATGGGTCTCCCTGGAAGCTTATGCCAGCTTCCTCATGGGAGTACACAATTTACTTTGGCCATTACCAAGCCATAGGGGCCTGTCTGGAAACTCCATCTTGACACATTCACTTCAGATCGGAGACCAAGCAAACTTATGGTCGGCTTTCTTGTGTTTCCTCTTCCTTATATCCCGTTCTCTTGAGACATCGCGGGGGGATACCACCACCAATACGGGGTGAAAGGAACTGATTGGAGGGGAAGGAGAGAGCTGCGGTCAATTTGCCCATCCGGATAAGATTGAGGAGGTGGTTGATTAGAACAGCATAGGAGATCGCCTGAGAATCAGTTGGTGGACAAAACTGAATAGAACTTTCTTTACAAATGGTGCCTCTGAACAAAGGGAAGTAAATCTATTCCCGTCCTTTTTTCTGTTTAAATCAATTGTCCGGCCCACGGACGATCACTGGTTAATAGATTGAATAGCGATGTTATTGCACTATGTCACTTTAGGATACTAAGTTGTATCTACACTGACTTATAAGTTTGGAATCATATGTTTGATATGCATCAGCGTTACTATTGCACTATGTCACTTTAGAATACTAAGTTGCATTCACACTGGATTTATATGTTTGGAACCACAAGTTTGCTATGTGTATAGATAGATACATGGAGTAGATCAGCCCACAACACTGATGCTAATATATGTAAATATAATTTAAGCAAGTAAGGGAATTTCAAGTCACATAGGAATCGATACACAGGATTTGATACGTACACAGGTCATATAGATCACTATATAGAAACTTCTTCTATAATATTTTTTATAATTTCAGATATGACAATGTTATAGCGATACAAAGACGTTGCTCACCCTCGAATTATTAGGATTATTGGTTTGTGCACAGACTGAGCGCAACATAACAGTTTTACTATATACGGGTTTATTGTCAGATATTGTTGCAGCTGGTCTAACGTTTTTCAAACACTTTTATTGCTCCCAGCGCAGCTATTTGTTGTTCATTATGGGAAAACCTATTTCCAACCTTACCCTTTTACTCTCTATAACAAGAAATACCCCTGTTCCCGGCAGGTGTCAACAAGTCTCTAGCCTTCTCATGGTGGGTAAACAATAATCTCATGATGGTGAATCCCTGACATACCATAGCCACTATGTTACGTTTCAGTACCTGCTGCTACCCGTTTCCCTGAAAATAAGACCTACCCCGAAAATAAGACCTAGTACTATTTTTGGGAATTGCTAAAATATAAGACCTACCCTGAAAATAAGACCTAGTTGTGACCATTCACAGGGCCGGTGGTGGCATAAGGGGGAACTTGAAGAGCCACGGAAGAGGCAGGAGAGAATCAGCGGTGCCAACGAAGTCAGTTCTAGAGGAGGCAAGGCGGCACCGGAGGGAGCAGAGCCGCATAAGCTGATGCCTCCTCTATAACGCCAGCTCCTGTCACAGGCGAAGTGATACCAAATGCACTCCGCCTGTGAGGAATTGATAGTGAAAGCGCGCTTCACTCATTATGGCCAGCGATTTGGTTAGCAAATTGCTCTTGGAAAGGTACGGCACCCGATTGCCCTGATCACCATATTTTTGTACATGAATACATGTAGACTGTTGTACATGAATAAGTGTGGATTGTTGTACATTAAAAAAAATAAGACCTACCCGAAAATAAGACCTAGTGTGTTTTTTTGAGCCCCCAAAAATATAAGACAGTGTCTTATTTTCGGGGAAACACGGTATATGTAAGCTACTTCTAAAAGTAAAAAAAATAAATTCCAATGCAAAGTATGTGCTGCCAGAGTACACCATATTTCAAGGTTGTTCAGTAAAATCATGCAATTCCATAACGCCATGAACAGATTTGACACATTCCCCAAACCTGAAATTTAAAGGATTGTTTTTTTGATGTTGTCCTCAAAGCAGCATGAAAAGGCCCTTTCCTTGCTTTGAGTAATGTCCCACATTTAGCCCCTCAAAAGTAATATTGAGACTCATAAAAGACTGTAGAAATAACACAATATAATAAAGTGGAGTGTGAGATATAAAACTCACATGAGCTGAAAACAGTTTCGTGCTGGAGGCAAAAGGTTCTCGGAATACTTTAATGATGAGGTTCAGTTCCCTTATATATTGCCTAACTTCTGCCATAAAAGACTTCACAAGGTCATAATATGTTTGTTCCCCTAAAGTGGATGGCTCTTCATCAGCTAAGGACAATGCACTTATGTCTTCTTCATCTTGGTGGAACATATCCATCAACACCTGTGTAAAAAGAAAGGCGGCAGTATATAAAATGACAACAATATCAAGTAAAATGAAAATATAACAGAAGATAATTCAAACTAAATAAAATGTGATATAATAAAGCAAGTCTACCTAAAAGTGATGCATTGGTTGCAAGTATAATCTTGCAGTCAACCACAGGCTTCTCATATCCTTTAAGTACTCCATAAGAGACATTTCCTTAAATATTTACTGGCTTAGTTTCCACCACCTTAAAGTTTTAGGTGCTCCCATCCACATTGGGGTGGTAACATACATATGTGCATACAAAGTTTATATGTGATGCTCCAGTACCCCAACTCGGCATACCATAGCTTAACAATTAAACAATACTTTTGCTGTAATACTATAATGAAAATAACCTCTCACTACTATGGTAAACGCAGGGACAATGATTGATGAGGATGAACAAGAGACAGTTAGGGAGACAGTTAGGGATACAATTAGGGTTACACATATTTTAGCTAGATGGACTGTCTGTTTATACAAGTTTCTTTAGCACAAACCATAAACCGGAGTTAGACCTTACAGGTAACTTTTTCCAGTAGTCTTCCAGGGCAGCCTCAGAGAGAGTGTAGCTCCTCCACCAGACAGGAAACACGTCACCCAATTTCAGATAAAAGCCTACCTCCATCATAACCCCTCAGTAACCACGAGAACATCTGAACTGGAAAACAAACAAAAAACACCACCACCAAAGCCATAGAAAAAAACATCATATGAAATACTAGGGTGGGAAGTCGGCTGTCCTGGAAGACTACGGGAAAAAAGAGTTACAGGTAAGTTCTAACTCCGGTTTTACCCCAGTCGTCTTTCAGGACAGCCACAGAGAGGATAAGCAAGAACTTACAATACTAAGAGAGGGACCACAGTCTGTAACATCTTTCTTCTAAATGCCTGGTCTTTGCTAGATAAAAGATCCAAGCGGTAATGCCTTATAAAAGTTCCAAAGCTAGACCAGGTAGCAGCCTTACATATCTGTTCAGGCATAGCTCTCACTTTCAGCCCATGAGGTTGGTGTAGATCTTGTAGAATGTGCATTTATGAAGGCTGGCGGAGTCATTTTGATAGTTTGGTATGTTTCAGCTACAGCTAAGGCCTTGTTTGTTTTGTTTTCGGGTAATACTAAGGGAAAGAAAGCTTCAAAATCTTCCATTGCGAAATTACTTGCGCTGTCCTACCAATCTTCCATCAGCAATAGGTATCAGGAGACGGGATACAAATTGGTAACCAGGTGGTACAGAACCCCTCACTGCCTACACTCCTTGTATCCCCAGACCCCGAATGTTTGCTGGCGTTGCGGTGACACCCCAGCAGACATTTTCACATTTTCTGGTCATGCCCATCACTCAAAGCTTTCTGGGACCAAGTGTGTATCACTACCCAAAAGTTCACCGATCTCCCAGTGCCTCGAGACCCGGCCTTCTTCCTCCTGCATCATAATGACGTCCCGACCAAGATCTACAAACGATCCGTCGTGCGCCATCTGGTTAACGCGGCCCAATCGTGGATCCCAGCACAATGGAAAACCGAAGATCCACCCACCATACCGCAATGGCTCGACAGGATTCATGATATATACCTCATGGAGGACCTTACCAGCTCACTACACAATACCTCCGACAAATTTGGCAGGACCTGGTTCTACTGGACTGAGTTCCTCCACACTCAGCATGTATGTACCAAATGGTATATTTGGACATCCCTGTTTTGTAACCGAAAAATACCTCTTTAAATAAAGAATTTATTAAAAAAAAAAAAATATCTTCCATTGCAAGGTGGATTAAATTAGCTATAGTTGAAACATACCAAACTATCAAAATGACTCCGCCAGCCTTCATTAATGCTAAAATGATTTAGTTGCTTCTAAATAAGCTAATAAACAGCGTCTAACATCTAAACAATGAAAGGATTTTTCTTTTTTATTGGAAGGGTTGTTACTAAAAGTCGGAGGGACAATGTCATGGGTTCTTTGAAAGTTAGATGAAATCTTCAGTAAAAATTCCTGGGTCAGTCTTCAGAATGATTCTATCATCCATCATGGAGAGGAAATGTTCCTGAATAGGTGGAGCCAGAAGTTCACTAATTCTTTTAACAGAGGTCACTGCTTTAAAAAAAGGCCATCTTGATTATAATGGACCCGATAGACATTTCTTTGAGAGGCTCAAAAGGCAGGTTCGCAATCCCTGTAAGACCAATGACAAATCCCATTGAGAAAAGGATTTAATAGACAACAGTCTTTAATCTCTTCATTGCTATAAAGAATCGGGAAATAAGTGGGTCCACTGCAAGTGATTTTTGCAAATAGACACTTAGAGCCGCCACCTGCACCTTAAAGGGTATCTAAACCCTCATGTTTTGCATAAATCTACTGCTAGCAAGCAGTAGATATATGCAAAAAGTATTTTTTTTTTTAAACGCTTTAAAAGCGGTTTAAACTTACCTGTGTCTTCACCGCGCGCTCCCGTCCAAAAAATCTGAAAATTCTCGGGCGGCTGCAAAGCATCTTGAGGGGCGGCATGCGCAGTTCGGATTTTTGCCCGGGAGACGAGGAGAGACACAAGGTAATTATATGGACGTGTGCACCCGCATGCAGGCACCGTGGGACAGGAAGTGCCAGCAAGGACAGAAGAGTCAGCACAGGATTGGAGACCCGCAGCAGTGCTGGAGAGAAGGCAGAAAACTACAGGAAAGAAGATCGGATTAAGAAACATCATTTAAGGTAAGTGCTTTAATTAGCATTGGGAGGTGGGAAAAAAAGGTTTGACTTTAATGTCACTTTAAGTGTACTTATAGCAATACCTTTGTCTGCTCAGTCCTGTAAAAAGTCCAATATAGAGGGAATGGAATAATCCCTTTTTGCAGTACTAGACCATTATATAAACTTTTTCCACATCTTCCTGTAAATAGCTCTGGTGACTGGCTTACGGCTATTAAGCAAGGTCTAAAATAGCCTTGTTTGGAATCCCTTTAGATCTTATGATGTCCTCTTCAGAAACCACACAATTAATTTCAGGGTCCGAGCTCCTGGGTGTAGAACTGGACCCTGGGACAGGATATCTTCCCTCTCTGGCAATCACCAAGGTTGAAAAATAGTTAGAGAATGCAGGATGGTGAACCAAGTCCTATGTGGCCAAAACATGCTGTAATAAATCAGATTTGTCTGTTCCTGTTGAAATGTTTGAAGAACCTTTGGTATTAGGTAAATCGGTGGGAACGCATAACAGAGATTGAAATGCCATGGGTTGGATAATGCATCCAGTGCCAAAACCTTGGCATTCTGCTCCGAAGCAAAGAGAGCCACTTATGGAATTCCCCATCAGGAGATTGTACACATCTGGACGTAGGCTCCACTCGTCTTGTAATATTCTGTGCCTGCTGAGATAATCCGCCAGATTGTTCTGAGTCCCTTTCATGTAAATAGAAGAAATTGAAGACAAATGCTTTTCGGTCCAGAAAAATATTTATGTTTCCAATAATTGAAGGGATGTACTTCTGGTTCCCCCCCCTGCCTGCTGATGCAAGCTGCTACTGCTGCTACACTGCCTGAAAGAATTAGGAGGTGATGTCCCTCTAGGACCTTTTGGAAGTACAGAAGAGCGTTGGGATTCACTTTAAGTTCTCTGCAGTTGGACGAAGCTCTTGCTTCCTGTTTTGTCCACTGTCCTTGAATGAAGAGGTTCTGGACATGGGCCCCCCAGCCTCATAAGCTGGCGTCCGTCGTAAACTTTCTGGAAAAAGGGAAAAATCCAGAGGAGACCCTGTGAGAGCTGGCCCTGCGTTTTCCACCACCAGAGAGACCTCTTTATCCTTGTTGGAAGTTTGACTTTTATTTCCAACGTTTCCTGAGAACGATTTCATACCTGCAGAAGAAAATTTTGTAGAGGTTTTTGATGAAATCTTGCCCACTGAACTGCCGGGAATGTCAACGTCATTAACCCCAGAACTGACATTATAAATCTCAAGGAAACAACCTGATTCCTCTGTAGACGGAACCTGCTGTGGAGACTTTCTGAATTTTCTCTGCTGGAAGATAAATACTTATTTCTTTTGTATTCAGCATGTAGCCCTGTGAGGAAGAAATGTTCGATTTTTCTTTGTTTACAATCCACCCCAGATTCTGCATCCATGTTTGAGTTAACTGAAGATCGCGTGCTAATTTTTCTGATGTTTGAGCCATGACCAGGATTATCATCCAGAAATGGAACAATACTGACCCTCCTGTAGCCTCAGAGGGGCCAGGGCTTCCCCTAACACCTTGGTGAATACTCTTGGTGCTGATGAAAGGCTGAGTGGGAGAGCTCTGAATTGGAAATGATTGATAGCTGAACCTGTTCGTACAGCCAGACGTAGGAATTATCTATGAGGTGGACCTTATGGGTGCATGAAAATAAGCATCCCTCAGGTCTATAGTTGCTAGGAAGGCATCTGCTTGGAGAATGTTTCTTACTAAAAACATAGAATCTATTCTGAATTTTTTTTGTAACGAATGGACACATTCAAAGGTTTCAGGTTCAGAATTAATCTGAACTTCCCTGAGGGTTTCTGTACAAGAAATACATGGGAATAAAATAATTTTCCCAGCTCTTCTTCCAGTACCTGGTCTAACAGATCTCCTGATAGACCTGACTATTAGCCTCTGGTCCACCAGATATCCTAATAGACCTGACAAGGCTCTGGCCCTGAACTGGTTTTTTGGTAGATCGGTCACTAGAAATCTGAGAGGACGAATCTTGTTGAATGCCAACTGGAATCCCTGATCGATAATCCCCAAAATAAATTTGTTTGAGGAATTTTTTCTCCACTGCAGAAATTATTCCTCTACTCTTCCTCCCAGAAATCATTGATTTCTGTGTTTCTGAGTAGGTGAGTTAAAGAGTATACCCCCTCATGCCCTGTCCAATGTTTTTTTTAGGCCAACTTTCTTATTCTCCTGTGCTCCCTTTTGGCCTCGAAAAAAACCTTCTATTGAAACCCTT